TCATATATGTAGTAGAAATGTGAAATACATTTTGAAGGTGGGTGCCTTCTTGACCGAGAAAAGGCAGAAAGTGTCTTTTTGGCTCATGTGGATGAAAGACACCAACTCCCAGAACGCACTCGTCTGTGGCGGTTGCAGCAACTGCCTCGCCACTATATTGCGGTTCGTTGAGATAGCCACGAACATCCAATTTGAGCACCTCAGTAAAATCTTTAACCTCAAGTAAAACATGAATATACCCCTTTTCTGGCCTGTGCTCACTGTAGTTGTCTCTTGTGTTGTATCGTAAGTGTATTGTCTCTAAAAAGTCTTTAAAAAGGAGTGCATATCTAAAAACAGCTACTTCTGTCCTTTGCATCATCACTTTAAATGTTCCTGAATTCATTATTGCTGTGTTCACACATGCACCAAACAGGTGAGCTGTATGTGTGAACAACAAACAGCTGAACTATTCACCCCGACTTTACCCAGAGTTTGTCATGCAAGCCTCTTAGCAATGAGCTGATGTTTAAAATGAGCAAGAAATATTCTGGAAAAGTCACCGCCAGCGAGCGGGAGCAGGTGATGACGTTTACATTACTTGTTTGATCTTTGTCTGCACGTAATGAAGCTGCTTTATACTCTTTTCTGCACTCTTTCTGAGAATATGTTATATTAAACGTCACATTTATGTAAAGTAGCCCTGGATCAAAGGATTAAAGGGGGTGCAGCTTCAGTGACCGGCAACAGCAATGTGAAATAGATGTTATGGGTCCTGCATGTGGTCCATGGTGAACACCGGTGCCTCCATTCAATTGAGTGTGCAGAAATTTTAAATATGGGTGCAATGCATCTTTTTGCATGTCTTCTCTGTTTTTCCACGTGTGACTTTGTGTGTGTGTGTTGTTTTCTTCTCTCTGTGTGTTCTTGCAGGCCGTTCGAGAGGGGGACTGAGGGGACTAAGATTGTCATTGATTTCCAATAACAACAGTTAAGTGTCAAGCCAACCGACCCAAGAGACATAAAGGAAACGGCCCACTTAGGGGAGCTGCTGAACGAGGAGAGGAAGAGGGGAAAGAGGAGGAGACTGAAAGGGACTTTGATGCCTCGTTCCTGCAGGTCTTCAGGTGCAGGTGCCCCCTGCTTTGTCCAAAGAAAAACTCAAGGGCACCTCGACTTTGGTGTCTTTTGATATTTTGATTCAAGATAATTTTACGGTCTGTGGTGGAGGGTCTATATGTCCTGCTTTTTTTCTTTAAAAATCACTTAGGGGTGAAGGAAACAGGGGGGCTGTTGATTTTTAATCTTTGTGGATCAGATCGTCTCATGTCCGTCAGGGGGTCAGCCCTATGTTCCCACAGCCCAATGGTCCCACAGCTCTATGTTCCCACATTTCTAAAAAAAAAAAATTTCACTGAAAATTAGGCCTTATGTTCCCACATTTCTATCCATGAGCCTATGACGCCTCCAGAGGCTGGAAAGTGACTCCAAGCATCCCAGGAGCACCCCCTCTCTATGCCAACCCGGCTTTCCAGAGGTATTGATGCACTGCAAACTATGGTTTGCGTCCAGTTGCTGCGCTTCTTTCGACTGATCTGACTGGAAGCTAGTCAATGCGAGGCCTCTGTGCTACTTAGTTTAGTTTGTTTATTTAAAAGGACAATGTGCACTTACATTAAATGTTTGCAATAAACAAAGAGATGGGTGCACCAGATTTAGCTAAAAGCTACATTCCATACGTAGTCCATTGCTACTGGATAATAGATTGGGTGTAATTGGCTACCAAATTGGAAGAAAGGGGGATAAAATCTGATACAAATTTATGAAAAATGAAATGTGGGAACATAGGCACGCTCCCGTCTGTCTGCACAGGGGAACACCTGACACCTGCTTTTCTTTCTCCTTCAAACAAGGCACTTTGAAACTAATTTATGGGACCTTTAACGTTAACGCTGGAAGTTTTCAGTAAATCTTTTTATTTTGGAAACGGGTAGATTTTAAGCTTGCTGTCAAGGCACAAAAAGTGACAAAGTTCATTTCCACTGAATGTGATTCTTGTTTTCTTGTTTGGTTTTATGCAACTAAAGATGGCCACACACTAGACGATTTCAAATTCTTAACTGATTTTAAAAACACAGACATACAGTTTCTAGGGATTTTTAATATTATAATCCTCAGAACGCGCACACTAGACGACTCTGCCAGAGCGGGGGAGACCACACACCTGCCGTTTGAAGTAACAATTTCACAGACACGAGATCTCACAGAAACTTACGTGATTAATCTCAATTTCAGAAGAAAAAGATACAGGGACGATCAACACCGTCAGCTGTCAGTCATATTTGTAACCAAAGGCTGCAGCGAGCAAAAGACAGAAAGCAGTGGGAGTCAATTCAATTAAACAAGTCGTCTGGTGATTTTTGAGTTCTTCTGGCATTAAGCTACATTTCCGTATCTTCCAAACAGAAGGAAGCCTTTTTCAGTTGGGCAGCAGCGCCATAATGTAGCTCCGTCGTCATAACGTCTTGTCCTTTCATGGTTATTCAGCAACAGCATGATATTGGTGTCTCTTTCTGAAATCACACACAAAGATACAAACAGACACACACACAGGCTGCTCTCCCCCTCTGGCTCCACTGATCCTGTCTCACACCTGTATCGCCTCCTTTACTACCTCCAATGGCGGCACAGAGGTGGGATCACTTCGTCCTCCATTACACCTCCTTAACATTCATAGTGAAGGAGAAACGTCACAGGGGCGTAAATATCCCACCTTGAACAGTCAGTCTGAACTGGACCGGAGAGCATAAAAACATCGTCAACATTTCACGACTGAATAGTTGTCAGTGTATTTGTGTAATTTAGACCGTGTGCAGGGTATTAACCTGAAATTCTTGTTCATTAAAAACCCGACATTATCTGATATATGGCCTGAGGATGATTATTTTAGTTGCCATGGTATTGAAACATAATGATATCATTTGATTTTTACTAGACTTGTATGGAAGTTATGATTCTGATATTGTGACAGTCCTTGTTGTAGTCATGCAACTAAAACAATAAAATGAAAAAATGTGTTCATGGAATTTGGTGTCTTGTTGTTTTTTCTTTTCGTTTATATTCTTTACTTTAAATATTCCTTATATCTGTGGTTTGTCTTCCGTCTGGTGTTCGATTCTCATTTTTGTAACGTGTTTTGATATCCAATAAATATCTTCAATATCTATCAATAACAACAAAATGACCCCTCACTAAATCACAGCCGGTCTTTTGTATTTCCCTTTCCTTTAAGGTTCTGTTGTATGTAAATTTTTTTAATTTTTTTTTTTTTTTCTGCCAACACCTTCAGTTATTAATTGACAGAATGAACTGCAAGTTAACATCTTTGTTTTCCGATTACCGGTACACAGTGAAAACAAGTTCACCTCAATACCTTCAATGTAGAACTGAAGTCAACACCTGCTCTCACCTTTAAATCTCCTCTGAGAACTTTAGAGTAAAGATATCGACTTTATTGTCTCAATCTTCCTAGAAGAGGTTTTCTAAATAAAAAATCTGAGTCACATTGGTCAAAGTTTTTGTAAGTGAAACATCAAAATATAATTTATTACTCAATTACAATCAATATTTTGTACTAAATAAATCATCACAAAAAATAACGTCAAACTTAAGCACACGCTTTTCTGTTGATTTCATATTAAAATTGTATTTTTATTAAATGTATCTATCTGCTTGTTTTTGGTGCTTTATGATTAATAAACTGGACAATACCTAAACGTGATTCTAACTTCTAAAGAACAAATATTGTTTGAATTAAATTACATTTAGGCCTACAGTTAGAAAAAAAAAAGAAAAGAAAAAAAGATCAGTCCTCCAAACAATAAAATTCTTCACTCTTTAAACTGCAGCTTGTTAAAATGTGTTTCTCCTTTCATCATGTAAACAGGATGATTTAGTTCAGGTTGTTTTCTTTCAATGAAAAATCTATTTGATCTGTCTTCCATTTTTGAAAAATGATTGACATACTGAACGGTAACATGTTCAAAATGCTCCAGATGACTGATCCTTGACTTCATGTTTTAGAGAATGGGATGAAATCTGATAAAAGATTATGTATTTACAGAAACACATTATGTAATAGCTTGTTGATGTTTTACGGATGTTTAACACTTGCTGCTTGCGGCTTTCTTTGTCACACCCGGGGCTTCTGCACTTTTAGAATAGCCTATATAGGCCTACATTTTTAAAGGTTTATTTAAAGACAGGAAAACAGGTAGAGTCAGAAATTGGGGAGAGAGAAAGAGCGGGTGCTGCAAAGGGGCACGTGGCAAATGAGCCACAGGCCGGGCCCAAACCCGGGCTGACCAGCCGGAGAACCACAGCCTTCACACATGGGGCGTGCGCAACCACCAGACGCCTCAAACAAACTTTTTGAATATATAATGGATAATCATTTGACAATTAGGCCTACCATTTTTATCACATGCTAAAAGTAGGCTATTTGTGGTTTTTGGGGCAGTTTTTGCGTTTAGTGGATAGGACAGCTTAAGAGAGAAAGGACATGTTAGGAGGTGAGAGTGGGGGATGATATGCAGCAGAGGGTCGAGGTCGGATTCTTTACCAAGTTGTTGTTCCGGCTTGAGCACTGAGCAGGTGTTCATGTGCATTTTACAACCCGGCAACTCGTTTTTCCGATGTGTCCGACATTACATGAATGCAGCAAGAGTATGCGATGATGCGAACCAATGGAACCAACGCTGGAATTACCGGGTAAGAATGTCCCCGAGTTTACCTTACCAGGCAGGACAAACCTACTTTTCTGTTGTTTTTAGGTCCCTTAAACAGAGTGTGTGATTATTGGAAGTAAATGCAACACTTTTTGTATCACTATGGTTGTAACTGACCTTTTTTTTTTTTTTTATAGTTAAGCTTTCATTGTTTGTTCCTGGCAGGCAGAGTTCAGGGCTTAAAAAAAATAATTATCACAAAGCGCGGGAGTTTCCTTCCGGGTTCGTGTTGACATAAGAGACAGTGCGGCGTGTCTGACTCCAACACAGCCACAGTCGCAGGAGAAGAAGCAGGGAAAACATCGACTAACTTCTGAGTTTTAACTAGAAAAGGATGGAGGACGTTCAGCAGACGAAGCCTGCTCTTCTGAACGGGTAAAAACTTCAACTTTATCCTGCTGTCTGACACATTTATCAAGTATTCTGTCAACAGCATCTACAAACAGTCTCGATGGTAAACTTCACATTTTTTGTAAGGTTGGAGGAAGAATGTGTCTCATTTATTTTTAATAAAAGCGGAAATAAAACCGGACCACAGTCCAGTAGAAGAACACACATTTAAATATTTACTATGCATTCAGTGTGTTTTATGACTGTAGTGTCATGAAATACACAAATAAAGATGTTAATTCTAAATGTGTTCATATTATGTCAAATTAAAAACTGTACAGTCTCTGGCCTCAACCTGCATTCTTTATAATGTCCAGAAGGGTGCGACTCCACTGGTTGTTAAAAGCAGTCTGATTGAGAAGTCTGTGATAAAATGTTCTTGCTTGTAAATTGATTTATTCCCTCAGTAAAACGATTCCTAATGAGTGCATTGCCTCAATCTCTAGTTTCAAGTCTTCTTCAATACACCATGATTTTAATTTAGTGAAATGTGGCCCCGTTTATTTATTTCTGAGCAAATCTTGTGCACAAAGCACAGCAGGCAGGTTTTACAGGCTGCTCCCCTGGTGCCTTTTTAGAGAGGAGACATTTTCAAGATCATACTGGGAATGTATATACGTTGAGCTCCTTCTCATGAGAAGACACAAGTTAAATATAAACATAAGAATCCAGACAGTGTGATTCATGTCCTGTTGTATTTCATACCTCTGTTGTGTCGTTGTGTGTTTATCCTGCAGCAGCACGACCAGAAAGAGAGAGGACTACCTGGAGTGGCCCGAGTACTTCATGGCTGTGGCTTTCCTGTCAGCACAGAGGAGTAAAGACCCCAGTTCTCAGGTGTGTGTGTGTTTGTGTGTGTGTGTGTGTGTGTGTGTGTGTGTATGTGTGTATATAGTCCTTATACGATAGCTGCACAAGATCCTATTCAGACTAAAAAAACGGTAACCCCTCGCTTTCCATCCTTCACTATAGTAGTGGGAGGAGGGTGGCTGTGGCTCATTTGGTAGAGCCGGTAGTCTCTCGACTGGAAGGTCTGGGGTTCAATCCCCAGCTCCTTTTGCCACATGTCCGATGTGTCCTTGTTGAGACACTTGACCCCAAATTACTCCCGCTGATTCGGTGGCGCCGTATGAATGCGTATAAATGGGGTTAGTTACTTCTGATGTGAGTCACTTTACATAGTAACCTCTGCCATCAGTGTGTGAATGTGTAGGTGTAAAAGTGCTTTGAGTAGTCAGAGGACTAGAAAAGCGCTATATCTATAACCATTTAGGGCTGAACGATAAAATTGATTGTATCTATTCATTCATATTTGTGGACTTTGTGTGAAAGCAATAATCTTATTGCCGTTCAAAGAATTGATATAATATGGTAACGTGATGAAACTGGTGATTTACAGCCCTCTGTAGTTTATACACACTACACACACACACACAATGTCTTTTTTGTTTTATACAAGCTTCAAGGAGTTTGAAAACTGACATCTCTGTATGAGCTCCAAAGATTTATGGATTATATACCCTCCATGTGATTTTAATCAGTCTAAGCATATTGGTCACAGCTGCTTGTAGAAACCACAGAAAGCGTCTCTAACACCTGTAACAGTAGCACCTGTGTTGTGTGTGCAGGTGGGCGCCTGTATCGTGAACCAGGAGAATAAGATCGTGGGGATCGGTTATAACGGGATGCCAAACGGCTGTGATGATGACCTGCTGCCATGGTCCCGCTCTGCAGACGACCGGCTGGACACTAAATATCCCTACGGTGAGATCTGATTGGTTTTTGTGTTTGACTGTCGCAGACCTTTTTTGTGTGCGTTCGGTTTAACACTCTGTCTACAAGTTTTTCCTACATATACAATGAAGCGGTGGCCATATTTATTCCTCCCCTCATCAAAGTCCGACAGTGTTTTTGTGACACAATTTTCTGAGGTGCTTGATGCTCAAACTGTTCTCTGGGAGAACAGCCAGACCCCTTAGAACTATTTAATGAAATATCTTCCCTTTAAGTCTGTTAAAAAAGCTTTAATGTTGTATCGATTTTAACTTTAAACCAGGCATTTTTGTTCAGTTGTAAAAAGCTTTTAAATGTGCCAGTTTGCTCAGTGCATGTTTGCACACAGGGAAAGCAAAGTACCACCTCAGCCTCACTTTGAGCAGGAAGAACCCTGTCTATATGTCTAAATGTCTAATATTTTTTTGAGTATTTCTTCACTGGACATGATCCAGTTATAAAGGCTTTTAGTATGTGTATAAAATATGTGCTGCAGTACCACGAATTGGCCGTAAGAGGGCGGCAGAGGATAAGAAATGAAGAAATCTGTCTATATTAATTTGCTGTTCTCAGGGTCATCTTGATGTTTCTCTCCTAGTGCTCAGGTTCAGGTGTGACAGAAATTAAGTGATCTTCTAACACATTTAACTCTCTTATAGTACCCTAACCTTTAGATGCTCAGCCTCCTAAAGAATCTTTTATCACATTTTTCTTCTTCAGGAGGTATGTTCCTATACTTTGTTCCTGCTCCTCTCCAAAGCTTTATTTATGATTTGTAGAGCTATCTGTGACCTCGTTTGCAATGATTTACCAGAAATTTAAAGAAAATCTTCTTCTTTTGTGTGTCTCTCAGTGTGCCACGCAGAGCTGAACGCCATCATGAACAAGAACAGTGCGGATGTGAAAGGATGCAGCATGTACGTGGCTCTGTTTCCCTGCAACGAGTGTGCCAAGCTCATCATCCAGGCAGGTGTGTATTTACAGCAAAAACACACATTTATAATATTTCTGTTCAAGCTGGCCCCACACCAGAGGATTTTAGACCCCATTTGGTGCCCGATTTACTGCTCATGATCGAGCCGGAGTCTCCCCGATGTGGTCGGACTGCCTCCGACAGTATACCTGCAGCAGCCAATGAGAGTAAGCAGCCTTGAAAGCATCACCACGGCTTTAGCGTAGCCTGACAACTCACCCTCAGCTCGCGCTACAAATTGTACAAAGCTGCACATAATCTGCCATCTCAGCCAGGATCTCGTCAGTATTGTTCTTCTTATTTTCAATTTTTCGCTTCAAAACACACAACAGGAGAGCCAGCTGACGATGTCAATCGTTCTTATTGCTTTTGCTTCTGAAATCACGTTTGATCACTCGAGTTTCTGTGAGATCATTACTACACACGGGCAGATGTGTGGTCTCCCCCAGTCTGGCCGAGTCGTCTAGTGTGTGCGTTCGAAGGATTTTAATATTAAAAATCGCTTCAAACTGTCCGTATGTTCGTGGCCTCCCATGTTTTTTAAATTTATTTAAATTTAAAAGTTAAGATTTGAGAATCGTGTGTGTTCAGCGCTGGGTTGTTGCAGATTGAGAACATGTAGTTTGCCTCAACTTCAAAACAAAGATATAAAATGTAAGTTTTATTTTAATAGCGCTTTGCTTAACAAGGATACATAGTCCTAAAATTACAGAAGAAAAGTCAAGAGCGATAGTTAAGAACTCATAAGTCCTTCTTTTTATTTGAGGGTTTAAAGACTTCTGACTGATGAGTGTCAGTCTCGACTCTTACAGAGCAGCATTTAAACCAGTTCTATCTTTACTGTAGTGTCTGTAAATAAGATTGAACCGCAGCAGACCTCTCTGATTCTGCTATTCTTTCAGCTTCACCAATAGTTAGCTAAAAAGTTTGTTCTTCTCATGGTCACCAAAGAATATGAAGATCCGTGCTCTGAATGTCTGCAAGAAATCTAACAGCATGTACCGAGTGTTCTTCAGTTTTGATGATCTTGTTCTCTCTCCTCCTGCTTTCTTCCCCGATGAAGAAGCACGTCTCTTCTTCAAAGAATAAGATACACATTTCACAGTCCTGTTTCCTCCCTCTGTCCAGGTATAAAGGAAGTGATTTATCTCTCTGATAAGTACCACGACACGCCGGAGATGGTCGCCTCCAGGAAGCTGCTGAGCATGGCAGGAATTCAATACAGGTGAGTCAACTACTCTACTTTCTTACCTTAAAGAAAACACTCAGATATATAGGTACTATTTTCTGTGTTGTCTTTGTAATGAACCTCTGTACTGTTGTTTCACCAAATCTTTACTTAATGAGACGCCAGAAGGAATTGAAAACGCCATTTACCTTTTGAATTTGAAAGGAGCACCGCTGCTCTCTCTTTCTCTGCAGCTTCTGACAGATATTGTATAGTTTTAAAACTCCTGGAATTGAAAGTATTTTAGTATTAAACATTTTGACACATCACTGACTCAGTTTGAACTGCCAGCTTCACTGATGTAAAAACAGACTCCCCTCGTCCTTCTGGACTCTCCGGTCTGTCAGCAGCGCACGCTCTCTGTTAGATGATAACACTACAGTCTGTAATTTCCTGTTTCTGGATCAGCCTGAGTCCCAGTCTGTCCATTACAATTTCCTGTGGGCGGACGTAAGCTGGGTGAAGCTGGGTTAGCTTAGCTCTGATCTTAGCTCTCTTTGGGGATTCAATCAGGAGGAGAATGAGAGGAGGACACCATCACTTTAAAATACCTTTTTTTTTTTTTTTTTCCAGTTTGCAGGATGAAATGTGATGTGACCTTTAACCTTTATCTTTTCCGTTTAAATGCTTAGTTATAATAAATACCAAGGAATCAGCTGTCTATTACGCTGGTTCACATGTACAAAACTCCAGAAAATTCCCTGAAATCCTCAGATTGAGCTGCGTGTGAATACAAAATCCTTTACCAGGACTTTTTCCTACCAGCCCCAAAGTAAAATTTCAGCATGAAGCGAGAGTGAGCCGATGTGCTGGATGTGATCTGTTGCTTATATAATCCTTTTGAAACCGATCTTAACTCGGAAATAAAACAGCCAGAGTATGAGGTCTTTGACACTGGCAGAGAACTCGGGGAACTGTCAGGAGGAGCTGTATGTGCTCCTATTTTTCCCACATTAAGTCAGAGTGAGTTGACGCAAGATATTTTCTGGAGAATTTAACGCAAGCGAATGGGAGGGAATGCAGGAGTGCATATGTGAAAACAGCGTATGACTTCTGTACTTTGCATCATCACTTTAAATGTTCCTGAATTAATTATCGCTGTGTTCACACATGCACAAAAACAGGTGTGAGCACAAACCGCTGAATTATTCATCCCGACGGCGGAGCAGGTGATGACGTTTTATTATCTGTTTGATCTTTGTGCATGTATTGAAGCTGCTTTATACTCTTTACTTTTTTCCCACTCTTGGGTTGATTTTTGAGAAGGCGTCCAATTAAATGTTGCATTGATATTGAAGCAAAAACTGTCATCATAGCGTCACACTTTGATCCGCCTGCCATCTTTGATATCTGAACATTAAGACAGCCTCGTCCTTTTTTGGCTGTGAGGACGTGTGATTCCAGAAGAATTAGTAGTGCACATTGCACATGCAGCTTTAATCATGTCCCACATGTTTAAGTAGTCTGTAAAGGGGCTTTAGTATTTAATGAAACCTTCCTCATGAACATACATTTGTTATAAATTCCTTTTAGTTTGTTTAAAAGGCTTTAAAGACTATTCATGTAGTTTGTTCCCCTCCTTCTTTGTGTCTGAAACTTCCCCTGACATTGTGAAAATGTGTTTGTGTGGGGACAGAAGGGATGAAAGTGTGACTTATAAAGACAAAGACCTTCATCCTCCTGCATGTTTTTCTTCTGTGTTTTTCCACGTGTGACTTTGTGTGTGTTGTTTCTTCTCTCTGTGTGTTCTTGCAGGCAGTTCAAGCCCAAGAGGACTGAGATTGTCATTGATTTTAATTCCATTAACCACCTGGAATGCTGAGCGGTGCGACCAAGTGAAAAAATGCAAAGAGCCCACTTGGGGAGCTGCTGAGCGAGGAGAGGAAGAGGAGGAGGAAGTGGGACGAGATTGAAAGGGACTTTGATGCTCGTTCCTGCAGGTCTTCTTGCCCCCTGCTTTGTCCAAAGAAAAACTCAAGGACACCTTGACTTTGGTGTTCTTGAAATTTTGATTAACCGGATATTCAAGATAATTTGACGCCTCAGTCTTGTGGCAGAGCGTCTTTATGTCCTGCTTTTTTTTTTTCTTTAAAACTTGAGATGAAGGAAACAGGGTGACTGTTGATTTTTAATCTTTGGTGTTGTGATCAGATCGTCTCAT